ACTACCGCGGATGTTGTGCAAGCAGTGAGAATAAATGACGAAACAAATGGGTAAATTAGTAAACAAAACCTGAACTCCCAGCGCGTTGTTCACTGTACCTCAACGTCGCGGCTTTATGGGCTAATCAAATCACTGAAGCAGACAACACTTGAAGACCCAACGGAATGGCATGGAGTTCGTAGCTCCGGTGTTATGGCCGCGATTTAACAATCCGCACACATCGCCGAAAAGAAACCAGTTTTATAGAATTCACAAAAAGTAAGTGCACAAAGGAGCAAAACAAATAAAAAGAAGGTAAGATATATATATCAAGACAAAGAAGACGTTTCTCTCTCACTCGATCTCTCTAACCAAGAGGATCTGTTGTTTTTATGTGGTAGACAACCGAAAACCGAAGGCCGTTCAAAGACTCTTAATTCTTCACTCGCTGAGCTTTAAAAATCAACTCTCGACTGTAGACTGGTGGTCATTCAAATGACTGACAGACAGACAGACTGACGGAAAATGCGAAAACAAAAGCAAAACAATGACAGATGCGGAAGCCTGAGTCATGGAGATGCAGATGGACTTAAGCTAGATGAAAATACAGTCGAGTTTCGTTAGCTTGAACTTTTTATCTACCATTAAAAACGGGTTGTTCATAGTGCAAATTTAAAATTTTGTTTTTTCGAATTTTTAAACATAATAATATAAATTAAATTTTTCAGACTCTGACTAGAAACTTTAAATCCGAAATATGTGTAGCTATGAAAGGTCAGCATGGAAAACTAATAGGGGTCCGAGAGTACAAAATCGGAAATGTTTATATTGAAAATATGTCCGCAACTAAAAGTGTTTATAGAGACTGGCTACCCCACAAAACCATATGTGAACCATCATGGCATTTTAATTCATCAAGTTTTCTTGGTTTGCCTTTAGAGAAGTGCGACTGTAATAAGATAAATATACTTTTGCAACTGCCATTTTGTGCTATTGAACTTTGCCGTTGGCGCTTGAACTTTGCCAGGGGAACCGCGAGTATTATTCGCAATAAGATGAGATGAGAATGAAGGCTGCGGCTGAGTCAGAGCCAAGATGAGAATGATGACTTGGTTTTGGGCGGTGGCGCGTTTACATTGAACCCAGCGTGTGCATCGTTGATTTTATTGATTTATGCATTACAAGTCGCTTCTTTTCTTCCCATTTTCTTCTGGTAAAAAAGGCAATGAACTGGAGACAGCCAAGACGAGACAAAGAAGAAGTCCAGCGAACAGGGCGAGGCAGTATATCCAGCAGCAAGGAAGCACACAAAAGAAAAGGCTGGGCCAAAGTTTCGCTTTTCATTTTGTCTGGCTAACGGTTTGTGGGGGAGTGAGTTTAACGGTCGCCATGGTTGCCAGATGTGGTGAATATGCGCGCCACAGGCAACTGGGAAAATAAAGGAAAATCCATGAAAAATAAAGGAAAATCCAGCAACAACAGCAAGCAATGCCGATTTAAATTTGTGGGCGACGAGGCGCTTTTCTCTGGTTTTTTTTCCTGGTAAACAACTTTAATTTGTGGTAGGGGGACTGGATGTAAAGCCAATCGAGCGCCTAAATCGATTCCCACACACAAAAAACCTGTACAGCAAATTGGAGAAAATTGAAAAAAATGGAAAACAAACTAGCGAGGAACAGATAACAATACTGGGGAGGCAAAAGAAAGGTTATACGACGGTGCTATGGGAAAATCGATGTTAGAAAGAAAATTTGTAGCTCTCGACCACAAGGTGAGCCAGTTGTTGGTGCCTTTTATCTCTTTCTTGTGGCTCGATTTACGTATTATATTTTTTCTTGTTTATTCGTTTTTGTGGTTTCCCGGTAAGTATACGCAAGCAAGGAAATTAAAATTGCATTAAAGTCGAACAGTTGGTAACAGCCAAGGCCTTATTTAGTTGACAAGGACATGCTTCAAGGATCCGTACTCACAGAGATGGGGCAAAAAATAATACAATTTATTATTTGACCTAAATATTGTGGTTCTATTTTCTTTGAGCTATTTCCGTTTTGTTTTCCTGCCAGACAATAAACAAAACAGAAATTTATTTATGTATACCAGATCTCTTTCACATTCGATAAAGAAAATTCTGGGAATAAAGAACACAACCACAAATTGATTGATGGTGAAATTCAATTTATGCGGACACCAAATTAATTTACATTGAATTCTATGCCCCTACCAATCGTGGTAATTTTGTTTCCAAAAAACCGATATATGTGCATAGTTAATACCCATTTTCAATGGGAAATTCAATCGAGATCGTAATGGACGCAGTACAGTCTGTCCCCAGCACATACAGCTGCGTTCAACATATTGTACCCCTTTTCAAATTAAAAATAAACAAAATTGATTCAGTCTTTAAAACCTGAAACAATGTTGTATGGTATGTATAGTGAGTTTGCTTTAAAAGAAAATATTCTCCTTTGCTTATAAGGTCCCACATTACTAATATTTTGAACTCAGCTGTATATGAACGACGCGACAACAAAAAAAATTGCATAACTTAAAACGAGAGGAAGCAACGACAGCCAACAAAAAGAAGATCAAGTATAGGGGATTAGAGTACTATAAATAGCGCTCCGTACAAAACATTTCGAAAACGGCAACAAAAGATAAAGAAAAGGCCCGAATCGTGTGAGTCGATCCGATGTTTCGATCGTCTGGGCCGATCGTATGGCCATATGGTGGGTGGTGGGCTGTTGGCATCGGTTTTTTGGGGGGTGGGATGGGGTACGGGTATAAAGGCATCCATTTACACGCGACCTATAAACAAAATCCAACTGAAAATGAGGCCGCGGCCATTCACGCGTCCAACGTCTCGTTCGCTTATCAGCTTTACTTGTTTGTATATAAATTATTTGGCCACAACAAAAAAGTAGGGGAAGAATAAAACGACGAGGCAATTAAAAGGCATACCAATTTGCGGAAGAGGGGCTTTCGTATGTGAGATAAATATGCGTGTGTGTGCGGCAATCTGTTTTTTTTTTGTATATTAACTAAATTTGATTTTCACCCCAGTCATCAAAACAACTTTTTTTTCGAACTAAAAGAAACTTGTTTGAACGCCTGTTGTTTATGTGTTTTTGCCAGAAATTAAATTTCTATAATTTTAGGTATTAGCGACAACGACACGTGTTGTTGTCGTCTGACCTGCCAAGAATTTGAAGCGAGTATTGCCAACAACAGGATTAGTCACTGGGATCGAAAAAGTTCTCAAACATTCGTGACAATTATTCTTTTCACTTACTCACTTTCAAATCGTTTATAGTAGATCCATGAATCACTAGCGTGATAAGAAAAAAACCATCAATCTATGAACTTTTTTCTTCTAAATATTATCAATTAAAAAATCCAGTATAAAAGCTGAGATTGAACTTCCATACTTTTAGACCGAGTTATGATTTCTGTACCATCAGATGTTTGAAATTTAATGTGGAACTTTGATAATTCGAGGAATTCATTAAAATTAAAATTTTTTTTTATTTATAATAAATGGGAACCTTGTTTATTGATACCTATTTTAGAGATTTCCACCTTGAAAGCAGATCAGGTTAAATGTATTCAAGTGTTTCCTACTCTATATCGTTGACTATTTGGCTTTCTGATTCACTCGAAAACATGTTTGTTTACCGAGCCAATCACAAATAATTAGCGCACGATTCGTTTCCTATCATTTCTGGCTGTTATCTCCACCAAATTCGTCAGAAAATGGCGAAATAGGCCGCAGAAATTTCAGGAAAGGCGTTCCGTTTAACTCGAGCACTAAAAGAACTTGATTGTGGGCATTCACTATGTACAATAGGCAGAAAACGTGCCCCTAAGAGATAAAAAACCAAAACGAGAGAGGGTCTCTATGTAAAAGCCACAGCACTGAAAAATACGACACGTGTGGGATGCAAAGGAAAACAAACAAACAAGCATACAAAAAATACAGCAAACACACTAGCAAATATGTACTTTTTATAATTGTTACAAGGTGAGCTGGAGTTTGCAAAGAAAAATAGCAAATGACTCACCAAGAAAATGAAAAATCAAACAAAGGCAATGACAAACTCAGCTGGGAGACAGCCCTACAACCAGAGCTGCCATCGGCACCCAAAACCCCTATGCAGCTGGTGATAAGAATTCGAAATCCCTAATCCGTAGATAATTCAAATTCGCCGTTGGCGATATTATATTTTTACATATACGGGTATATGAGTCATACGAAAAAGTAAGTGAGCAGAAATTCCAGTCACGCACTGCAGGCAAAAAAAAATAAAGTAAAAGTTGTGGAGTGTGCAGATAAAGATATTTCTTCAAGCAGGGCGATAATGCGGAAAATGTTATTTAAAATTTGGAGATAGGAAAGGGTATATACAGCATATCTTTGTCTGTGCGTGTTTGTACTTGAGCTATCAGTCATTTGTTTTTCACTTATCAGCAGAGCGTCCTTCGCTTCAAAGTCTACATTTCTGTGCTGCGGTTTTTGGTTTTTGGCAAGTCGTAATATTTTGTTGGCAAAGAACCCCAGAAAAAAGTTAGACAGCTGCGCTGAATGAAATTAAGATTGCAGATTAAAGAATCAGCTTTTATTTTCACTTTTTCTTCCTATTTCTTTCCTTTTTTAAATGTTTTTTATGTCTGTTATTTATTATTGGAAAGCAAGTAAAACAGAGTGTTATTTTTTTACTTATTTGCACTGGATAAAATTTATATTAAACTAAAATTAAACAACCTTTTTTTCCGTTTTCTTTTTTAACCATTTTTTAACTGCTATTTTATATTTGTTCTTCGTATTTGTATTTCGCGCGACATGGCAACGCTAGTCGCACACACACACACGCACATGTGACGTAGGCATGCTTGTGTGTATTTGTGCCTGAGGTGAAGAGAGAGAGCGTGGGGAATCGACTAGTGGTGAGTAAGCAACGTAGGCGAGCGAAGAGGAAAACGAAATAATTTATAATTTTCTTTTTTTCTCGTTCGAATTCACTTACTTTTCCAATTCGTTTTGGGAAGAAATTACACAGGCTTGAAACAAAACTCAGAGCTTTGTTCGGATCACAGTTGTTGGAAATTATTTTTTGTTGTATTGGTCTCGCAGAAATTTAATTGATTACTAGTATTAATTTAATTTTTTTTACAGAGAATTGCACAGGGATCGTTGAAAAGAGGAGGGCAAATAATATATCACAAAATGGTGCACGACGCAGTTGTTTTTCCTTCGTTAACTGTGGCCCTTTACGGTTTCTTTGCGACAATTAATTTTTTTCAGAATTTTTCTTGGGCACAACGCACACGACGACGCTGCTGAGCTGCGTCCTGCGGTTTTTCTCAGCTGCGAGGAAAACGCTGCCAGTTTTCTTTGTGCTTTTTCTTATTAATCACGGGGCGCACTAACACGACCGAGAGAGAGGGACGGGGAGCGCGAGGATTATTGTATTTTATTATTTAGTTAGTCGCTGAGCTGACGATGACAGTTGTGGGTAATTGAAGCCAAAAACCAACGTGGATCTGATCCTCCAAACGCGAAGTGAAGTCTCCAAGCACTCGAACTGAAATGAGCGGAGCACAGTGAACGTCGGAGCGTTGGCGGTCAGCGAGTGGTGAGTTAACAGTGCGCTGTTGGTGTTGGCAGGGGGCTAGAGATGGGCGCGTGAAGTTAAATATTTTGTTATTAGCTCTTGAACTAACGAAAATATGAAGGAATGATCAAACAACTATTTCCGGTACCCAAAGTCTGAAAAACTTTGTATAAATGTCGTAATATTCTAAGCTAACAAGATCATTAAGCTTTATGCCTACTGCTCAAATTTAATGTTTAAATCATATAGAAAATCATCGCAAAACAGAAAAACTACGAAATAATAAAGCGCTTAATATTCAAGAATAGGGCTTTACTGCTTAATTTTTTGTATAAAAATTTTAAATTTCTCGTCGCCCTACCAAACCCCACATTGCACGCACATCTCTAGGCGACACGAGCGCTGTTAATTCAGAGAGAGCTCCGTTGCTGGTGTGGTGAGAAAGAGGAAGGAGGGGAAGAGGATGACAGGCTAAAAAGAAATCGCCAGTCAACGGAGAGCATTCAAGAAGGAAATAAATTAAATGTGATTTGAGCAAAGATGGTCGAAAATGCGTATTTTCAACGAAAACACCACACCATGTTAAGTAACAGCGCTCCGTTAATACAAAAAACAGTGCAAAGTGCACACACAATAAGACGGGGAAGGGGAAAGAAGTGGCAAAAGACCAATGCAGCGATAGAGAGAAAAATTAAAATCGGGTTCCAGCTAGAAAACCAAAACTATTTATGCTTACTGGGCTTTTCGAAAACCTTCAAATGCGATTTTAATAATCTTTATGGTTTTCGTATGACTTTAAATTGGGCGACGACACAATTTTGACGACGCCATATTGTTCGCCATCCAAAAGAGAGTAACAGTGGGAGAGAAGTTAACAGGGAAAGAGAACGAATTGGACATCGACTGCGCTGCTGCTGCGTCATCAATGCAAACTGCGCACTTTTTAAAAAATATTTTTAATATCAATTTCTATGCGTTCGCTTTGCTAATACAATCAACGGGGGACAAAGTGTTAATGTTGAAATCGTCAGCGAACGCAATTGCTTTGTCTTCCATAATTGTAGTCTTTTTAATAACAGAGCCATATTGTGAAATGGCTGTTCACTGACCGTGGTGAGTTTCTCTCGTAGGTTAACAGGCCTGAAAGTTGGTTTTTCCTTCACCCTTACCCAGAGAATATCCGTTTTGAGATGCACCTTGTCCAATTTAATAACGATTTTCAGAAACATTGGTTGTTTAACTTTGTGTTTGTACTTATTGAGAAAATAATCAACCATATGTCAACATGTATAATTTAAGTGTTGAGTACTTCAGCAAGGAATGTGGTCAATTTACAATTATTCAACACTAAATTGATAGTATGCTCAAAAAATTTAGCACACTACTTTCTTTTTTTAATAATTTTTGTCTTATTACTAACTAAAATTTTAATTTCAAAACTTCACTTTATGGTCGTTAAAACTAACTAACTAAACGTTTTACCCGATAAATCCATTTGAAATAAAATATTTTTATTCCACTTTGTTAATTTCACATTGAAAGCAAAAGTATTAAAAGTTTTCGTGAAATAATACAAAAAATCTAACTAATTTTAAGGGTATCATTAATTCGATTACGTTCCATTAGATCTAAATGTTATTTTTTGCGATCACTCGCAAAGCAAATGCAAAAGCAAATTGAAAAGCCAGTGTGGGGCTAAGAATTCGTTTAATTAGAGGTCATAGGCTCCAACGTGATCGTGTTTATATAAATAATATAAAATATCATTTACAATCCGTAAATACCAGTTTGTGGAGCTTATCGGCAGATATTTAAGCTATCAAAGGTCGCTCCTGCCTACGAAATTGGTTCTGCATTAACCTTGTCGCGTTGATAAATAAGCCGAAATAAGCCAAAAATTTAACAAATTAAAAGGCAGACAGTAAAAAAACGCTAGTGTTAACGAACTTTATAAACTTAATGGCAAGGTTGCAACCAAAAAAGCTTGAAAATTATGCGAAACGTATAAAGGCAAACTTTAATACGAGAGATTCTATATAGTATATACGTAGTATAAAGTCGCAGAGCGTTAAAAATAAAATATCAGACACGCAACAGCAACCGCTGCCAACAGTGTTTTCTATAGAAAACGAAAATTATTTCCTGTTTTCAGCAATTTCAACTGCGAGAGGTGGAAAATATCGCCCTGCTGGCGGAGATAACAGAGTTGGGGGTGTCTAACATGGCGTGGTGAATCCAAACGTACGGCTACAGAATCGCATTTGGCCATTGCAGTTTGTTTACCATCAGTTTTTAGCCACAAGCCCCATACCATATACCCCATGCCCCATACCCCTTACCACTTACCACTTGGAACTGAAACGACGCAGTTGCGGGAGAGCGCGAGACGGAGATACAAAGAGGCTCCAAACAATGCGTAAAAGAGGTGATTGATAACAAGGTGCGCCTTACAAATGTTCACTGTCTGCCCTCGACGAGCAATACCGGAATTCGTTAAGACCTCCAATCTATTCGGTACTATAAATGTGTGCTTATCTTATTTAGAGCCCCGATTTACGTATGCATATGTACATAGTAGCGAAATTTGGATAAAAGGTTTTAGTTGGGACTCCATAGTTTCCATATTTTCTTTTGTTTTAAGCAAATTATTTTTTTTGTTGTTTTCGTATTTAATTTTGGATTTCTTTTATTTTAAATAGTCGTACTTTTTTCTCTTTCTTCTTTTTTTCTCCAAAATTAGGATTTGGTTTGCTTTTAATTTTTGTAGTGTATATATTAATGCGCTGGCAATTGGAGCTACAAATTGGGGGTGAATGTGTTTCGTGCACACAGATGCACTTTATGTAAACATGTGGGCACACGGACAAGGTTGTGAAAGAAGAAGTGTATTGTTGAGGCCAAGAAGAAGAAGAAGCGAAAAGGACAACGAGTCGAACACTCCCACACATGTGCATTTCTAAACAGATAAAAAGGGGGCAGCCAAGCTTAATGTATTTTTGGCACACACTCGCCCCACCTCCCACCCTCCCTTTCTCGACTTCGCTTATCCCATTTCGCTTTGGTGCATTCAACCTGCCGGGGAGCAAGACAGGTGCATTTACAGTTCCTCGAGATCAACAGCTGTGTGAGTAATGGGGAATCAGCCGAGAGCGGGAGAGACGACTGGGTTTATGGAAAGATAATTTCAGGAAATCACAACCTTATACATATATTTACAGATGACAAAGGTCAGCCTTATTTCGAGAAAGGTCAGTATTCATAAAATGATCAAATTTAAGTCCGAGCATTTAAGGAATACATCAAAATCAAACCATAAAGACATAAAAAGTAACAGATGAAAATATCCAATACAGGTCTTGGAGACAACGCAATTTGCTACACTTTAATGCGTAGAAAAATAAGGAAAAGTGCAGTAAATATTCCCACCCCCTTTTCCCACACCTTGTTATTGTTGGCCGAGCTTACAGGGGTTGTTGTTGCTGCGTAGCTTTATTGTTGCTGTTGGCTGCTGCGTAGCTTTATTGTTGCTGTTGGCTGGATAAAACAACGACGCATGCAACAAATTGCGTTCTATCAACAACAGGAACAACGAAATTCAGTGATGAGATACAAAATACTAGAAATATGGAACAAAGGTACAGTGCAATATAAAGTTCCGTTACGGAAAATATTTTGATTATTTAAAAAAATAATCGTGTAATAAAATATAAGGCTTTCTAAAAAAATATTCGTTTTAATGTTTCACCGCGTTTACAAAATTTGTTTTCTATCTCAATACAAATTTAAAATACTGTAAAAAATCGAACTAAAAAAACACATAAATAAAAGAACAACCCTAAGAACAACTCAGCACAATGAACAGCATTTAATGACGTAGTTGATTTTCTGGCTGAATTCCAATTGCAATTGTTCAAATTACTCCACTTGGATGCTCCGATTCAAAACCAGAAAGTATTCGAATTCAAGATAAAGAATGGTGAGGGGAAAGGGAAAGGAGCTCGGATTCACCACCACCACATAGTACTAAGAATCGCCGGAGTTGTCGTCATCCAAGGAATGATTAACAAAAACAGTTGATTGAACTTTGTTTGGCCTCCACACATCCCACTGCGAATGTTTGTGCTTGTGTGTACTTGAAATGCCCCACTTTGCGGTGTGGGGCTAATAATTTCGGGTGTTAATGACCAGAGCACTGACTTTGAACACTGCAAACACGAGTCCAGCAATTGTATTTTAAAGATTGATAAGTTCTGCTTGTTGGGGCCAGGAAATTCCAGATGCGGTTTGGAATCCCCTTTCGGTTCAAGGAAATATTCACAATATTCCGAAATCGAATTGTGAGCAGTTGATGATGTATGTAATTTGATTTTTACTGAACCTTTATATTAATGAACTTTTCCTTAAATGATCTTGATGAATTGTCTGTAAAAAGTACTAAATCAAAAATCGAATAAAATAATATTACCAAAAATTAAGACATTAGTAAAGGTATTTAAAATCAATTTGAATGACAAAACAAAAATAAATATAATTAATTTTGGGGGAGTAAAGAGTAAACGATTTTACTTCAAGTCTCTAGGGATATAGATAATGAGGGAAAATATGTGATTCCTGTGAGTTTTGTAATCGTTCAAAATTTTCCCGCTTGACGCAGAACGAGATGATCTGCTGTCGAATGGTGGGCGTTTTGGTTAACGCCCGGAAAATTCGTGTCGTTAAACTCATATTTTCGGTTTTGTATTTTGTATATTGTATATTAATTTAGATACATAGCTACAATTCTGGTTGTACATCTATGTATATATGCATACCAAAAACACAATATGTTGACATACATAAAGGCAGAGATTCTTAAACAGTATGCAAAAAACATATGCGGTTGGACGGAATACGACTTACAACTAATTACGCTGATTCGTGTATAAAATTTGTGGTGTTCGAGAGGCGCATCTCTAAGGCACTGAACTGGTGGATGGAATGTACAACATAGTTTAAGAAATGTTTATGTGCGAAGCATCGGGGTTATATTGTGCTGCTTTCGGACGGTCTAGATTGTGCAATTTCGTTGTGAGCTCCATAGCTGGATGCCAAATACTTCGTTTAACCCACGGGCATGGTGGATACGGTGCTATGAGGAGTGGTTGGCCGTGATCCAGCCAGTGAATTGGCGGTGGAGGCGTGCAGCGAGGCCATTGTGCCCATCTGGAAAGATACAAATAATCATTTATGTCTGCATTTAAGGGTAATGTCTTGGAACACCTACGCGTAAGTGGGCCAGATCCTCCAGTTTGGTGAGATCAACCAGTTCCAGGAACAGAGAGTACACCACGGCCCATCCATAAATACATAAGACACAGAAAACACTCCACAACAGCACCATAATCGCGTTATAGGCAAAATAGAGGTCGTTGACAATGGCAAAGAAGATCAGCGCCAAAGCCCGCCAAACAGTGAAAACGGCAAAGGTCCACAGCCAAGGCATAACTTTTCTCTCATATTCCTGTAGGATAAGACAATACATGGATTAGAATGGGTTTTTATAAGGAAGTTTCCTTAGCCAATTTATCAATCTGTTACAGTGCTAATTTCTTGGTTATGACTGTGCAGGATGAATTGGTTACCCCTTTGCTCAGTAAGCGTTTCTGTGCTTCCAGTTTTTTATGCTTTCGGGCAATGAGAAATGTAAATGAATTGCATGCTATAACTGTAGGATCAGACCCTCACTTACCTTGCGCAAAGCCACGCAGAGAAGAACGCTGGTCACAAAGTTTATCAGCGCCATGATTAGCGAGAATAATGCAAAGACAATCAGCATGTTGCGAACTGAAAGAAAATTAAGTGGGAAAAATGAAATAAATTTACTAATTTAATTTAAATGGGAATAAGTTACTTAAACAAATAAACTAATCAGGAATTATTAATAAACCTGCTTCCATTTAAGTCCTTACCATGCTTGTTGCCAACATAGACGAACTCGTAGGATATGATATAGTAGCCATAATGTGTGGATCCTGGAGCGGCCATCGCGTAGCAGTATATATCAAAGATGCTCGTGGCAATGGTAAAGAGTGAGAGAAACTAGAAGGGAATTACACTTGCTAATAAGGACTTTCTGAATAAGTATTTAAGGACCTTACGATGGCAAACAATCCGATGAGCATTGCACCCTTTTGTATGTCGATATATTGGTTGTTTTTGAGCAGCGGTCTCTGGTACCAGGGAATCCTCACAGATCGCGTGGATCTTGACATTTTTGAGTGCAAATTTGTCGAGGATCTGGAGATATATACAAGCAATTAGCCGAAGATAGTATTTATTAAAACAATATAGTTGAAATACCTTCCCGTGGCGTGGGAATAAACCGACGGATTGGAGCGATATGTGGAGGGCGTTTTCCTGCCGTAATTCATCATGAAGCCTTGTAAAGTCACGTTACGTGGGCAAAATGTGGGATCCCTTGAGAATCCTTTAAGTAACTGCTAAAACATTTAAAATATAATTGTTAGTTAGGGGAATATTGGTTATAATGTTTATTGTTCAGGGCGTGTTTGCTTTATTTGTGTATTTTGGGTGTGTCAAGCAAGGCTTAACATTTTCAGAAACTTTGGAAACGTTATAAACCAATTTAACGAGATATAATTAATAATCTCCTCTTGTTAGATTAATCTAACAACTTTGAAAATTACGCTGAACAATAAATCATAGTCTTTTACATTTATTTACCTCTAAAAAACGAAAAATTAATCACTTCGCAACGCATCAAAAACAAAACACACGATTTAGGGCTTAGTAATTTCCAGGGCTGCACACAAACTAACAGCAAATACCGATACAGCAACAAGTGCTATCGATAGAAATTTTGATGGGCAGCACTGACGAATCTACTGTTTCGGTAGCGCACAATTTTTGAATATTTTTTATAGATGTATAATTTTATCTTATTTATTATTTAGGTTGAATTGGATTTGGAATTTAATTTATTTAAGCTCAAAAATTAAACTTTCTCAAATTTAATAAAAACATGTGCAGATTTCTTTAATAATTAGTTCGCTTACACAAAAACATAAATTAAATAGTTTATTCACTCTAAATATTGAAAACGGGCTTGAAAAGATGTATTTGCGAAATGAAACGAATTTTTTTGTGGGATAAAAATTAAACTAGTTTTTTAACTGGAGTAAAAACTAGTTTAAACTTTTCCTCACAAAAAACGTTTGGGTCAATAACTAAAGTCAAAACTAGTTTAACCCTTTCCTAATATAAAACAATGTTTATTTGGTACGTTACTAAAAAGGAGGAAGTATTATTATTTAATTATTAAATTCAAAAATTTTTAAAGTTGCTGAATTCCATAGAAGTACATGTCAATTATTTTACAAAATTATTTAATTTTAACTGGTCATTCGGCGCAAGACTAAATCTTAAATTTGAATTCGATTGATTTCTATCGATAAATCCTATCAAACCCAACTCTGTTCGAGTCTCAGGCCCTGGTTTGCGCGTGAATGTGTGAGCCGAGATGGGCAAAACAATCGACCAATAGAAAACATAAACATTCAGAATATATAAATGATCAGAACAACATAACATGAGCAGAGCAACCACACCACTGCCGAGTATTACTGATTTCGACATACTCGAAAAACTCGGAGCGGGCAGCTATGCGACCGTCTATAAAGCGCGGCACAAAGTGAGACACCAGTTACATACAAGTACAAAAGTCTTATATTTACTTGTAACCTTTGCAGAAACAGCGCTCTTATCATGCCATCAAGTACGTGGAAATGTCGACGCTGTCGCAAACCTCGCGGGAAAACCTAATCACCGAAATACGCCTCCTGAGGGATCTGAAACACAAGTACATTGTGACCCTGCAGGATTTCTTCTGGGACGACAAGTAATAAAGTTACCTACCACATATTCCTGTCGATGAATCATCCTTATAGCAGGATATAGGATGTATATGGTGGTTCAATTTAGGGCGGTCCCACCAACTTGAAAGGTTTCATTTAACTAATCATTTGGAGATAGAACATATTTAGGGACTCTAAAATGTAGTTAACTTAACGTTAAAATCAATCATACTTAAGGCATCTGTAGGGTCCTATTCGGTATAGACTTTGCTAATGTTCCTGCCTTACAATTTATCTATTTGGATCATATGTCAATTGTCTTGATTTTACTATTATAAAAAGTCGTAAACGTTTTACCATAGGCATAACCTTTGAAGGAGAATTCAAATAATACTTATTCACACCAAATTATTACAAACATTAAATTTGTTTTTTTTCAGAAATATTTACATCGTGTTGGAGTACTGCAATGCCGGCAATCTATCCGCGTTTATACGCACTAAGAAGGCTTTGCCGGAGAGCACCTGCCGCTACTTCCTGCGCCAGTTGGCGGCAGCTGTCCAGTACATGCGAGCCAACGAAGTATCCCACTTCGACCTTAAACCGCAGAACCTGCTGCTCACCCGCGGAGCCAACAATGTGTCCCTGAAGGTGGCAGACTTTGGGTAGCCAAAAGAGAAATCTTGTAAATAAACATAGTAATATTAATATAAATTATGTTTATATTTTATAGGTTTGCTCAGCACTTGAAGCTGGGCGAGATCAACCAGCAGCTTAAAGGTTCTCCCCTCTACATGGCCCCGGAAATTGTGCGCAAGCATCAGTACGATGCCAAGGCGGATCTCTGGAGCATCGGGGTGATCCTGTACGAATGTCTGTTCGGTAAAGCACCATATAGCTCGCGAACCATTGAGGAGCTGTTGCTGAAGATCAAGAAGGCCGAGGCCATAACACTGCCACCAAACGCTCGCATCTCGAACGAGTGCCACGATCTCCTGCGCCGCCTTTTGGCCCACGAGCCCACGGCGCGCATTTCGTTTGCGGACTTCTTTGCGCACCCATTCCTCGATCTCAAGACGTTTCCCACGGAGCACACCCTGCAAAAGGCCATCGATCTGGTCACCCAGGCGTGCTCGTACGATGAGAAGCGCAATTACAAGGAGGCTTACTATCTGTACTGCAGTGCCCTGCAATATTTTGTGCCGCTGATCACGGAGGAGGCGGACGCCACAAAGAGGCTAGCACTGCGCAATCGTGCCTTGTCGTATACGAAACGCGCCGAGGAGATCAAGAATTGCATAATCGAGGACGAGTACAGAATGTTGGCCGAGCGACAGCGACAGGCTTCATCAACTGCCACAGCTAACCAAACCACAGAGCCTTCTCCAGCTGCCCAGGTCACCGATGCGCAGCCCAGCAGCTCGCGGGTTGCCGAGATGCTGGAACCGGATGCCCGCTACAAACAGCTTTGTATGATTTAAATCTGTTTTCTGGACTCAGTTTGCTCTTATTTTTTCTCAAACTACAAGCCCATTCTTTTTAAAATAAGTATAATAACATTATACCTTTTCAGTTGCCCTGTCGCATTCAAGTCCGTCCCTGAAGACTGGCCTGGAAATTGGACGGAAAGGCGAGCTATATCTTTACGAGCGCAAGCTGGACGCTGCTCTGGAGTCGTATACCTCAGCACTGGCCATTCTTGTGCCACTTGTAAACAATGAACCAAAGGGCGAGCGACGAAATCTGCTGCTACAGCAGGTAAGCTTAAATAAATTCCTTCCATCATATGTTAATATGATCCCACTTAATCCCAACTTTAAGCTGGAGTTCTGGATGAAGGAGGCGGAGAGCATCAAGAGCATTTTAAGCGCAAAGCATTTAGACGAGGAGGAGCAGAAGCTATCCACGGTACGCAGCTGCAGCATACAGTAGACAACAAAATATAGATTTGAACTTGATAAGCAATTTCCGGCGCCTGGTGCGCACTTGTTAGAGTATTTTTGTAGCCCGATGTTCACCGAACATCGCCTAGTCACGTAGCCTTCGATGATCTTATATACGATATACAAATATACATATGTCTACACTAGATTCGCTTTCTATGTACACCAGAACCACGACAGCTATTTGTAACGCTTCCCAAAAACTATTCTGTGTATAATTAGTATTTGTTATGTAAGTCCTAACACTGATGGCCTTCCAATTTGTATACTGACCCACTTGTTTGCGGCTGTAAACCGTTGTTAAGTTTTAAACCTTTTAATTTTTTTATTTTAAGCGCACTCCAATGAGAACCATCATATTCCCGGGCTGGTCAAGTCCCCCGCTTTTGTATTTCATTCTGTTCATTGTGCTTAATTTGATTAAAATTGTTTAAAGATAACCGAACCAGTGTCGTTTGATGTCGGTGGAGATAACGCGATAGTGGCGTCTATTGTAATCAAGCAGGTATAATCTCGTACTATCAATCGCCGTAAATAATCGTAATCAATCTGTATCGGCAATGCCAGGAAGCTTATAAAAGCGGCTGTTGGACGATGAGCGCGCATGTTTCCCAAAAAAATGTCGGCGAATAAAGATCTTTGCCTTGTGGTGATCGCCCTCTTGGCCATTACTGGGTTTGCCCAGGCTGCTCCTCCTATGGGACGTGTGGTTAATGGAACAGATTCCAGCGTGGAAAAATATCCTTTTGTGGTAAGAAAATCTAAATATTTGCTATGCCTGCAAGGAGTGTGTCCTACAAGTATTAAATATATTCTTCCAATATATTCATTGTTTGTTGGAAAAAGTATTGAATTAACTAATCTGTACCCATTATCCTTCAGATTTCGATGCGTGGTTCCAGTGGCTCTCATTCCTGCGGTGGCTCCATTATTTCAAAGCAGTTTGCGATGACTGCCGCCCATTGCACTGCTGGACGCAAAGCCTCGGATCTGTCCATCCAATATGGAGTGACCAAGATTAATGCCTCCGGCCCGAATGTCGTGCGCGTGAAGAAAATCATCCAACACGAGGACTACAACCCCAACAACAACTATGCCAACGACATTTCCCTGCTGATGGTGGAGGAGCCATTCGATCTGGATGGGATTACGGTTGCCACTGTTCAATTGCCGGAGCTGGCCTTTGCCACACCTCAAACAGATGCCGGAGGCGAGGGAGTGCTCATTGGCTGGGGTCTCAATGCGGTGGGTTTTATTTGATCAGCGCGCTTTCTCAAGGAACTAACCTCAACTTGAAACCTTTTCAGACTGGCGGCTACATTCAGTCTACTCTGCAGGAGGTGGGCCTAAAGGTCTACTCCGATGAGGAGTGCACCACCCGACATGCTGGCCGCACGGATCCCAAATACCACATCTGCGGAGGCGTGGACGAGGGCGGCAAGGGTCAGTGCAGCGGGGACTCCGGTGGCCCCCTCATCTACAATGGCCAGCAGGTGGGCATCGTGTCCTGGAGCATCAAGCCCTGCACCGTGGCTCCTTATCCCGGTGTCTACACCAAGGTCAGCCAGTACGTCGACTGGATCAAGAAGAGCCAAATCATATTGGCATAGACAGTTTACTATCTTTGTCAATGTGGAATGCTATTTGCTAACAATAAATTCAGCTGATTAAAGTTGTGAAGTTTTAAACCATAAAGCATTAAGTGCCGGCTGGGATTTGCCGGATTTTTTGATAAGAAACTTGATTTAAATTGGGGGATTTCCTTATCGTTAAAATAAGAATCATGCCGAAGTTACGGAGAGTTCAAACATTTCTGCCTAAACATTTTCTAAACTTGGTGAACACCGAAATGAGCACAGCTAAATTTAAATGTAATTTATGAACGAATCATTTGGTTGCCCATATATCAGTTAACAATATATTAATATATAGAAATAAAACCATTAATCGTGAACAATAAGGGGGATTTTCTTATCGTTAAAATAATAATCATGCCGAAGTATATTTGCGGAGAGTTCAAACAGTTCTGCCTAAACATTTTCTAAACTAAGTGAACACCGAAATGAGCACAGCTAAATTTAAATGTAAATTATGAAGGAATCATTTGGTTGGTATAAAAATAAAACCATTAAAATAAAACCATTTAATTGTGAACAAAAAGATTAGGGTCAAATAGCTTCTTAACATAAATGTTTGTTGCCGATAAATACGATATTCAACTCTTTCAATAAATCATTGAAAAATACACAGCATTTTGCGCTTGTGCCGATATTTTTTTTAATTTTTTAATGAGCCATCCGTGTGCCATTTTATATCAATGACGATAGATTCAATAAAGTCCTATCTCGAATCGTAAATATTATTACTCGGGTAGTATCGGCGAAGTCTGGAGGCTTATAAAAGCGGTAGCCAACCCGGGGGGTGCAAATTAGCCAAAATATGTTGTCGCATCAAGAGCTCAGTCTGGCTGCAATCGCGTTATTGACCATTTCTACAATCGGTCAGGCCACGCCCACTTTCAGGGTGGTGAACGGTACGGACTCCAGTGTAGAACGATATCCCTTTGTGGTAAGATAGACAGCCCTCAATTAAGTGGAACTGCTTTGATTTTTAACAGGGATATAACTGTTTTTAAAGCAGCGATAATCTTTAATGGTCAAATAAATAAATTGAGATACGAATTATTGTACTTTCCTAATTATGTACATTAGGGATTTATTGATTTAAAACGTCTTGATCCTTGACCAAATCCTAGGTTTCCCTGCGGAGCTACGATGGATCCCATTCCTGCGGTGGCACAATTGTGTCGCAGCAGTTTGTGATGACCGCCGCTCATTGCACCAAAGGACGTTCTGCAGAGTCGCTATCGATTCAGTTTGGAGTGACCCACATTAATGTCACCGGTCCGAATGTGGTGGGCATAAGGAGAATCATCCAGCACATAGACTTCGATCCCACACGCCAAAATGCTAATGATATTGCACTGCTGATGGTGGAGGAACCCTTCGAGTTTGATGGAGTCACAGTGGCTCCTGTGGCACTGCCTCCTCTGGCCTTTGCCGTTCCCCAATCGGATGTCGGGGCTGAGGGCGTGCTCCTGGGATGGGGTCTTAATGAGGTGGATTTCGAATGGCTTTATTTCTAATGACTCTACCTAACAAATCCCGCATTTCAGACCTATGGAAGTGTCCAGGACACCCTGCAGGAGGTGTCCTTGAAGATTTACTCCGACGAGGCGTGCACTGCCCTCCATGGGGGCAAAACTGATCCCCAATATCACATCTGTGGGGGCGTGGACGAGGGCGGCAAGGGCCAGTGCAGCGGGGATTCCGGTGGTCCCCTCATCTACAATGGCCAGCAGGTGGGCATTGTTTCCTGGAGCGTTAAACCCTGCACTGTGGCCCCTTATCCGGGAGTCTACTGTAAGGTTAGCCAGTACGTTGACTGGATCAAACAAAGTCAAATCATATTTGCTTCTTAGTCACAGAGTACAATGATCAATAAATTGAAAATTAAGCCGCTTTATAAATAATCAGATTGCTGGGCATTATTTGTTCCTTGGGGGCCGATAAGCAAATTATCTTAATCATTATAAAAAGACTTCGAAAGGCAATAAATCTTTCCAATTATACTCGCAGTTTAAATTTAACTTATAGCAGCTATTGAAATTAAGTGCGTTCGGGGCGGAATAAAGCAGTGCAAAGCGAAGCGTGAGAGGAAACATTCCAAGCAGTGTCAAGCAGTTAACTTTGGGCCTAGTTTCCGATATTCATCAAACTGTTATTTTAAATTCCGCTGCCTTCGAGTTCCAACAAACTGTAATTTAAAATAAACTTGTTTGTAGTTAATATGTTACTTTGATTGGTCTCGAAAAAGAATTTGCAATGAAAACAAATTGTTTGTAGTTCAAATAATAGTTCGAATAATACAAAATGAATAATATATAAATATATTAACGATGTGAAAAAAAAGTCAAAACAAAATATTCGTTGCTTTTAAAAAATCTTTTTAAGTAGATTTAGATTCTGACAATTATTCTTTGTCAAAGATGATTGTTGGATATTTCATTGATTCGCTTAAAGGTTTCTAAGTGCAATTTCTTATACCTCATAATTTCATTTTTTTTAACTTTATGAACGGACTTTAACAATGTGGTCAACTTATTAATTTCAAGATCCAGTTTATAACGAAAAGCTGATTTTTAAGTTTCCAAATGAAATATAATGCTTGCCTTGCCGCACACAATGGTATTCCAAAAACCGACTCAAATATATTACAAAATAAAAATTTAAGTGCACCAAATGAAGCTTTCACAAATTTTACTTGGAATACCTAAGCAACCACATCCTTTTCATCTCCCTAATTATGGTTTCTGAATGCCTAGAGATGCCTGCAACTCCCTCGACTCCCAAAATTCGTGCTGCAGACCTTCATTAGCACCGAAATGAAGAAGTGAACAGTTTGGGCGGCACTGCCGCACTGGACCAATACGAAGTCACCCGAGCCGAATCGCTCATCCGCCCCGTCGGCTGCTGCTGCTTTTGCTTCTTCTTGCTGATGGTTCTACGGCCGCGGCTTCAACTTCTGGCACTGCAGTCAACATTTTCAACTCAGACGGAACGCACGGTTGGGCGGACTCAGTTTGAAATAATTCAAAAGTTAGTGTCCGTTGGTTTTGTGTTCGAATTCAGAGTGTGAATGAGGGAAAAAACAAACCAAGAATGAAACAAATATAACAAAAATATGAACCAACAATATTTTAACAAAAACTTGTGAATTCTCCTTGAGAGAATAAAAGCGTTTTCTTTTGATAACCCCAAGCAAAGATCACGTCGACGATGTTGCTGCTTTTGTGCTATTACGCTTGCCATTGAGGCGGCAAAAAAATGTGAAAAAATATATTGCATTTGCAGCGCAGAACGCGGAAGGTCGCCCATTATGATGGACCAAAACTCGTTGCATTCATTCGTTTAATTAAAAAAACAGAAACACATAAAAAAGAAGGAACAGAAATGACTTGTTAATTGGCTGCTGCGAGGGCCACATGGCGGATGAGTGATACTAGGGCTTGCTGAATTTCGAGCGAAATAAAAGCGAACCGAGCAAAAAGTGCAAGCCTCAAATCGATCCGCTCCATACTTTCCCCTTCTGGTTCCTCATATATATTTCAGCAAATCAAATCAAAGCCCAAAAGTAGGCAACAAAAGAACACAATGAGAGCTCGTAATACGATTTTGGCTTGCTTCTGACGCTTCGCAAAGTATTTTCGGAAAAATTCGTGGAAACACTCAACGCTGAACGCATAGAAAAGTACTTTCCAACACCCCTTCATTCCCCCCTCCCCCGCACACACACTCGCATTCGCGCATTTAACTAACAACAAAAGCAATTTGAAAACAATTTTTCGAGTTTCGAGAAAAACGTGTGGCCCTGTGCGGTCGTGGCCTACATGCTTATGGCTTAAACCGGGGCGTGGCAGCTGCTGGCAATTTGTAGCATTCCAAACAAAAGGTGCATGCAACACCAGTCCATCGATGGCTTTTGTGATTTATTCAGCGACCTGCAACTGCAAATAGATAACATGGCATGGGGGCAAACCTCGCTACTAATTTTCTTGAAATGTTAGGGAATTAACAAACCTACTAGTCTAGTTGTTTTATTTAGACCACCAATATATTTCTTAATGTAGGCTGTTATTATTGTATTTTAAAGATATTCTATGTCAACAAAATAGATCATCAATAAACATCTGAATGTATTCAAAGCATTCCAAAATCGTTTGAAACATTACAACAAAAAACAAATGAATGTGTATGGATATTTAAAACAAAGCCAAAACCCGGAAATAAACTTCCACAATACACTTTTTGTAGAAGTTCTTCCAAAATAATATCTGAAGACCTATATCTTTCTAAGTCCCACTAAAACTAACCATAAAATTATTATAGGTACAAGCACACGCAAACATCGTCGTCGATCTTTGTATATAAAAACATTAACGCTAAACAAACAAACTTTTCAGAAACGAAATAAATTTTTAATCAAATAACCGCAGCAGAAACAAAGGCTTTCAAAAAGCGAAACGATTCCACCGAGGTGAACAAAGCGAAATTGCAATTTTAGTGAGTGCCACTACATCAGTGTATCAGTTCGTCAGTCTGTCACTTCGTCAGTTCATCAGTGAGTGTGTGCTAGTGAGTGTGAACTCTGTGGCAAAGGTCAGAACTCATATGAAAATGTCGAGCGGCAACCAAGAAGCAATGTCAACAAAAGCAGCAGTCACCGCCGTGGACGAGGACAAGGCCTCGCCAGTGCATCCAGCATCCTCATCGGCTCCGGGATCGATCCCCGCCAGCTCCCATGTGAAAGCCCTGGCCATCCTGGTGGCCATCGTCCTGTGCAGCGGCAGCCTGGGACTCGCCGACGGGTTGAAGTGCCACATGTGCGGACAGTACAACGAGGGCGTGGGCTCCATCACGCCCTGCACCAACTACACCAAGGATATCGCCCATCTCTACTTGAAGGAGTGCACCAAGAAGAGCGAGAAGTTCTGCGTGGTGAGTCCTTCTGCTGCGATCCCTGATTTCTATATCTACATGTTTGTCTAAATAATTTAACACCTTCAACACTTTCCCTAAAGTACGGCATTATTTTACTTTTAATATCTGTTTGGTTTGAAAATATTCTGTCGTTCGAGAGAACAACCCGAAGGTTGAATTTTGGTATAGTCTTACACTTTTCCTTGAGATGGTCTACCTTAAGTTCCTCAAATTAACTTAAATCTTATCAAACAAATCTGATATAAACTTTTTCTTAATTAAATAACAAAAAACCCAATTACCTCCAAATTTGGTTGATAAAAAAACATTTTATTTAATGTTTTTAAAACAAGGAATTGGTTTATTGTATAAGAATTCGAACCTCCATTTTCTAATTCACCAAAATAAATGTGAAAAAATCACTTAAACATAAGGAAAAATAAAATTTGAATAAATTTCACAATGTCGCTGATTCGAGCTTTTCCGCTGACCAATATTGGCAGTACTTTTTGTCCCTGTTTATTTTTGTCTTTACCCAGGCCAATTGAACCGAAATTGAAACGTTGCATTCATTTATTTATAGACTCATTCATTTTGGTTCATTGCTGCTCATTGTTGTCATTGTTCGGGGAAGCAAAAAAAAAAGGCAAACCAAGAGGCAAACAGCAATAGCTCCTCCTCCAATCCTCCCTTCGGTTTCCTTCCTCCATTGACGACTTCTCGAGTTGATGTTTCCATTTTATTGTTTTTCGCCCGTACTCATAGTGATTGTGTGTGTCTGTTTGCCTTATCTCCGTTCCATCCATGTATTCTTTTGGAAGTAAAGTCGTTTGCAGATCTGCTGTTGTTACATTTTTGTTTTCAGTGCTTGTCCAGAAAAGATAAATTGCTTATAAAAACAAAGTGAATTACTTACTTCAGTTTATAATGGTTTCTAGGAATCATAGGCTTTGTGAATAGTCGATTTGGTTTTACTTCATAGAAGCTTAATTATGAAATTTGAAGACAATTCGATTTTTAAGGAAATGTAATTTTTAATACCAAAAAAATATTGACTTGGTCAATTACATGAGTTTGTGCTTAATGGTTTATTAAAAGTATCAAGGTTTCATTTTAAGGTTTTTCTTTAATTTGTGTTCGATTATAGTGATAAATATTCCTGTCTAGTCTTTGATTAATTGATTTATTTTATAAGGAAAAATCGATCTTAAAAATTCATAATTTCTGTTTAAATGGAAGATATTTAAATGGTCAGCATCTTAAACGCTTTAAAAGTTTATCCTCTTTGCTCTTTCTATTGTCACCTAATACAACTTGTCTTATGTTAATAATAACTTGATCGTATTAAATGGTACATTTGATATGTTAAATCAACTGTGTAGTTATTAAACTCATTAGTCATTTAATAGCCTGTTATCTACGCCAATTAGTCCGCTAACGGATATCAGGTAATAGTTTGCTTTGTAGCTTTGGGACTTGCTTCACTGTTTGTGCCAATCCGTTACGTATACGCACCGTGTACCAATTTGCAAGACACAACCAGCCATTGTTTTTGGTCGCCAGTGAGTACAATTTCCGCCCCCTTTCAGGCCAACCCCCCTCACCCAGCCACCCTTCAGTGGCACATCCATCCGGGGAAGCAAGGTAAACTAATGCCATCTGACTGCGCTGGCAATTTCAATTAGTTTTGCGGTCGTCGAGCGGTTGGCTCGACGTCGACGATCTAGGCAAGCGGCAAGCGGCACGTGTGCCGTTAGCCTGCGCCTTGATTGTGGGCGTGGCAGCCCAATTGTGCGCATAAATTGCGGCATATTGTATGCACTCAATTCCCCAGTGAATGTGTGTGTGTGTGTGTGTGTTCGGAGCACTTAACGAATTGCAACGGCAGGAACAGGACTCGGAATCCTGCGAATCCCGCCTGTTTGCGCTGTGGCAATCATTAAATATTTAACACCTACTTGCCATGCACAGCTGCAAAGTACTGGCTGCCGATTGCAGCCACATCTTTGGCATGATTCACCCGCTTTTTCTGGAATGGCCCCCATAAATTGTTATTTTCTGCGGCGCTCGATGCTAACACGTCCCGCTCATTTCAACGGGCCACGCCCACACCGCCTCCTCTTGGGCATAATTTAGTTTGCGAGATCTTTTTTGTGCCCCCACATACCTTGTTTGAACTCGGCATTTCATGTGGTTTGGAATTTAACGAAATCGCACACAAAAAAACAGACTATTTTTCACACATTTCGCAACTTTTATAATCGGCGGGTGGGGACAAACGAGTTGAAACGAGTTAATTTTATCTGCACTTTTTCCTACCGCTTTCCCTGTTGCCGTGCTATTAAATTTGATTTCCTCTCGTTTTTTCCACGCTCGTCCTTGTGCTTCAAAAAAAAGAACGTGTCTTTTTCACTCTGTGGACAAATTGCGTTTAATTGCAATTGGCAGCTTGGTGCAACAGCAAATGATATCAAATTTATGGCTAAAGTGCGGCTTTTTCATTGTCCTCAAAAGTGTGTCTTTGTTGCACATTTTTATTTTCATTTTTCACATATTTTATTCTCATTTAATATTCCGACATTATTTATGCGTAAAATTGAACATTCACATAAATAATTATTGAGTTATTTAATAGATTTATTGGCTTAGATATAAAAAATACAAAAAACGAATTAAATGGTTTGTTAAATCAAATACAAATATCGAGTAAATGAATAATTAAAATCGTTTAACGCAAAGCTTTTTCGTGCATTCCCAAGTTGATGTTTTTTCTGTACGTGTCCGGTTGTGAATAATTTATAAAAAATAACTAAAAAAATGTTTCAATTTTTAGATTGATATTAAATAATTTATTACTATTGTAAAACAAGATTCTCATGCATAGGAATTTGTAAAAATCGAAGAGAAATCGGTTACTATTCATATTTTTTCATGGCCTAAATGCCGTTCAATGTTTACCCCTTAGTGTTTGTGAAAACTATACTTGCCAGTAAGTCTCGAGTGTTTCTGCTTAGCTTTTATCTTTCTGTTTAGCCGCTTTCCCGATAATTGCCCTTCATTTTGTTATTAACAGCTTCACAGACACTTAATTAGCGGCATAATTTATGCCAAGCCGCCAAAGTAAAGTCCTCCGAATGCCAAGATGGTGATGCCAGTGGTGATGATGATGATAGCCCCGAAACGAAAAGTGGACAAGAAAGGCGAAATATGTTGCAGCACGAAAAGTGGGCAAAGAACTTTTGTTTAAATATTAACCAAGGGCATATAAACCTCCGCCCGCTTTTGGCCATAAAAGTTGAAATGTTCCCTTTAGTTGCTGTTTTTGCGGTCGTTGTCTTGACTGCTTGACCTGATGTCGTCGTGTTTTGGCCAAGTAGTTGGTGGTGTTCTCGTTGATGATTATTATTTGTTTTATGCTAGTTGCTTGGGGCCCCCAAAAAAGTTACTTACGCTGGCGCCGTCTGCCGGGAATCGTCTTGTATATATTTATGAGTTAAATTTATATTCAAATAAGCTGGGTTCGAAAAGGCAGCGCTGAATGCATAATTCATAATTTCTGTAATGAGTTCCAGGGTAGCGTGAATCTCCCCTCATTTACCCCCATTTCCCCCCGTTTTGCACACATTATCTACATCTTGTGTTGACCCCGCGGGAAGGGACCAAAAACAATGGCAGTCCATTGTTTTGAGGGTCGGCTCAGGCACGTAAACAAATAGGCCTGCATGTATGCAAAAGTGTATATTTAACCCTTGACCTCTTGCAAAACAAAAGGGGTTTGAATAGGGTGGGAGGTGAGAAATAGAGCCAACGCCTAGGTTTATAAATTATTGCAGCTCTCTTTTTCAATTATTACTGCGCAAATCAAAAATAAGGCTTACATTACCTTCCATTGATTGGATGTGTGTTGTAATCTCAAGTCTTTTTTAATAGTGGAAACTTAAATTAAAATATTTGCAAATTTGTTCTGGATAAAACTTAAATAAATTTAAAGGAATTTTAGAAGAAAGCTAAATTTAATTGTTGCAAATTTGGGGTTTTTATCTCAAGTCATGGCTTAATTAAATCTATATCATTTAATTGCAGAAATCTCTGTGCTAATGTCATGACTTAACTAAATCTATATCATTAAATTGCCAAATCTCTGTGCTAATGCTTAAATCTGATTGGATATTCTAGCTTTGTTATTAATTTCACTACCTATACAATTTATTTCTTTTCTATTCAAGTGCAGCCATAAATTTACTCAAAATTGAACAGGAAAACACTGTCATCGATTGGAGCCGAGCTTCTTTTGCCGGATATTGCAGTATCAATTCTCGGGGAAAGTGCAGAAGGCATAAACGAGACCTTTTTGCAGCTGTTGTGGCTACGTGATGTTTTGCCTGCTGGTCGCAACGCCGCAAAGCCCAAGTGCCGAAAAGCAAACACGAATAAATAGGGCAGAGTCCGTCCGGCCACGCCCATCAACTGAGACAAGGGAATGCCCGGAAAAACGGAATGCAAATATTTTCGCTTCATTTTGGCTGTCGTACATTCCTGGCCTTTGTTTGCTGCCACTGTTGTTGCAATTAGAAGTGTTTTCGCTGCCTCCCGGGCAAACACGCCCCAAAATCACTTAAAAGTTGGCATTTTGCCTTCATTATTGTTTGTAATGCCGTGCCAAGCGGCACATTTTTGTTATTTATTTTTTAGGAAATATAGCACAAAATAAAAAATTAAATATAATTATTTAAATATTTCTGTTTGTGATGGTTGAAATCTCGAGAATCTTCAAATGGGCAATGCTTTTCATAGAACTTTAAAACCATCTGCGGAATCTCCATGTATGCAATGCTACATGGTAAAATTTGAGGTTCTTCGAGATCAAAGAACTTAATGAGAAACGACATTTCTCCATTGTTTTTAAAGGCCTTGAGAATTTGTTGGGCTTCTAAATCATGATTAAATGGATTATCCATCACTAAGCTTGGATCAATTTTCAGTCGCTTAGCCTTTCTTTCGTATAGAGAATTCAGATCTTGACCTCTCTTCAGACTTTGTTCCGATTCAAACGAGTTTTTTAAGGCATCACATTCTAAATCTTTGGCCCTTTCCCAGGTATTGTCTTCATCGGTATAATTCAACCATTTGACGAGGTACTGAACTTCACCATTGTATTGTCTTCGATCTAAAATCTTTTCGACAGTAAACTCTTCGTCATCAATGGAGTCGTTTATAGATTCTGAGGAATCCGAAGAGGTTTCATCATTGTTTTGATTCATTTCTGTTTTCAAGTGTTATTGTTTATCAGTTCTGATTTTTGGCAGAAATTTCAAAGTACCAAAATGTTTTCAAAAGTTCTTATCTGAAATAAAAATAAATGTTAACGAATTTACTTTTTTTGAAGCCAGTTTTGATTTGACTGAGGGAGGCCACTTCAATATCTATGTTTATTTCTTTGCCAGGACATTAACATAAAGATATGATAACAAATTCCATGGAATTCATTTATTGTCCTGAAGAACAAAAAGTTGCCTTATTCTTAATGCCCACAGCTTAGGCAAACGGTATTAATAAAACCAAATCCAATATAGAGAGTGAATAAAATTGTTTGCCCGGAAATCTATTAGAGATCCCAGGATGCCAGGCAAGTCCTTTCAAACAACAACAACAACAACGACGGTGAGTGACTGAAGGAAAAACTGCGGAAAAATATCGTAAAAAATTATGCGTAAACTTGGCAAAAAGTTTGAGATACTCATACAACAAACTTTGTTGAGTTTGGTCTTTGGGTATCACGATGTTTAATGAACAAAATCTGTCTTTTTAAAGGCAAACTTTCTGTGCCACGGAAATCGTTGATCGATCAATTTATTTGGCTAAAGAGTATCAAATGTTTATTCAGTTCATTAAAAATTTTAAGAGTTGGACGATTTTTAGAAGGTATATTATGACAGGTGAACAAAGTCAGGGAAATAAATCCGTCGAGTGCTCTTGTTACCCAGAAACATAAGGTTATTTTTCCTGTCAAAGCTTTATTTTAAGGGCTCAATTCGCCACGTACCTGGTATTAAATCGGCAAAGTTATATTGCCCGAAATTAAAAGCTCGATTATGCGTGTTGACGTGGGCCAGATTTGTGGGATTGAGTCGCTTAGTGGGTGGATTTTTTAGGAGCCAGGATTTAAATGCGAATGCGGCAATCAAACTGTGCAGTGGGGCAACGTGAGCGGAATAAATCAGGCGACTTTTAGAGGGGGATGGAGTGGAGCAGTCGCTGAAGATACATAATAAAATGTTCGTCATCGTCAAGTGCAATGCAGAGGAGTCGAAAAAAGGGGGGTCAAGAGGTCAGGGGTTTGTGTACCAAAGCCATAAATGGGGGCTGGCAATTTCCGTGTGGCGAGTTTTGAAATCAGCGTCAAATCGGAAGGCAGGAAGTGGGTGGGGAAGTGGGGAAGGGAAAGTGGGGCAGGGAAAGTGGGGCAGGGGATGTGGCAATGAACGTCGAAGAGACTGCCTATGCCATCATTTCCGGCAGCCATTGATTGGTAAGGAAAAAGGGAGAAGCAGCCTGGGTAAATTCAATGTAATTGATAAGCGAACTCTGGAGCAGAAGGTCCTTTTCCACACACCTACTGCAAATACTTGGCCCAAAGACTTTGAGCAAACACACACACACACTCACACACACTCACACATACACACACACTCATATACACACACTCTCGCAGAGACACTCAATTAAGAAAACAATGGCGGCTCAGTTTGTGCGGCAATTGAGTTTTTCTTCTAGCCATCTGCTTTAGTCGTCTTTGTTTTGCTTTCGGCTTTTCCTCTTACCCCTCCCCCCCTCCCCCCGGGCCACTAAGACGCTTAGTCTTGCCACAAGCCCATTGCAGTGCTCGTCGGTTTGCGTATTTGACTAGTCCCACGATATCTCTGCCTTTTAGCCAACCCCGGGGCTTTGGCCCACTCCTTTCATCGTCATTAGCCACTGTCTTGGAGTCAATTCTGCTGTCACTTTTTGCCTCTCACTGTTGCCAGTGGTCCTTTGTTCCCGCTCCGCTTGACTTAACACACTTTGGGCTAATTTCCAGTTTTATTTGATCACCATTATAATTATTGTGTGTTTTTGACAGTATTACGGCCATAATGGCAGGAAAGTTGGCGCGGAAAGCGATTTCGCATGTGCGAAATAAGTTTTTATGATGTTACTGGAAGCGTTGTTAATATTTTAGATTGTGTTTTTATGGAAACCTAATTTATAATTAATTTTCTATCATTAAGATAAGCTTCCAAGTTGTTACTTCTTCAATAGATAAATTTAAAAATTGAATAAAGTGTTTACTAAATGACTATTTAAGATAGTAAGTAAATGTTCCTATTTTTTTTATTTAGACATATTTTGCTTTCCCAAAAGTGAGCAGTACTATTATTGTTGTTCCCACTTTTCTCCCAGATAAATTTATACACAAGCAAATAACCTTTCTATAATCAAAAACAAAAAACAAAAAGTAAATAACAGTGTGAGCTATCTCTCGCACAGATTGTCCCAATTAAAGTGTTAAGTATTTAAGGTCTTATTCCAGCTGAGTTCCATTAACTCACCAGCTCACACATGCTGCACATGAAAGTTTTTCAACACCAGGAACAATAATTCATTTATTTCAGCCAGCAGCAATTGTATATTCTGGCACTCCCATTTCTCTGGCTGGCAAACTATCTCTCGTCCTTCGCATTCAGTTGGAGGCATTGTAAGCGATTTAAAATCCAGTGCCCAAAAATATGGCAACTGGCAGATGGCAGATGGCAGCTGGCTCATGGGAGCACTGGGGCGACCTCCATGGCCAGAAAGTTGTTTCGCATATAAATGATTTTGATAACGCGCACTGACATTTTGTGACTTCATTATTCTAAAATTCAAATTATTCCGACGAACAATGGGATTCGGAAAATACAAACAGAAAAACACCGAAAGTGGGTCAGACTGTGGCTGACAATAAGTTTTATTAGCTCTCCAGACGACTGAAAAAACAGGGGAATACGATGAACTTGTGTGTATGTGTATTTCGGTGAGCAGGCACGTTACGCATACGCCACGTATGCAAATCTGAAATTTCTGACTATCTCGCCTGTTCTTTGGCCTGTCAAATAAAGAATGTTTTGGGAAGCTGCTGTTGATAAAGGTTTTTACCCGGCAAAAAAACCAAGAAGACTGGATTAACTAATGGGCATGGCTCACGACGTCAAAGGCACTTTCCCAGTTCATCGGGCACACAAACACTCTCCGCATAATTTATGACTGCAAATTTATATCATTTCTTTTGAGACAGACAATTGCCAAGACACTAATAAAATTTATTTTTCGCATATAACTTATGAAAGGCAATATGGCGCGAAAACTTAATGAAAAATGGTTGCTCAGCAGTGCGACTGAAACGTGTTTGGGCTCCTTTGGCCCCTTTTGTCCCCTTTTGCCCCCTTTTGGCCAATTCCTTTTGGCCAAGCAGCTGTGACCAACTAATAACCCGGGGGCGTGGCTGTGACTAAACGTGCAGCAAAAAAGTTTTTACATAATTTTTCTCCACTCATTTCTTGTGCCCCCTTTTTGTGTGTGTCGCAACATCCACTGAAATTTTTATAAAGCTGATGTTCAGCTTACGGACCAAAGCCAAAGCGGAAATCCTTAGTTTCCTTATGACAACGACATCCTGGCGCACAAGCCAAAAAGGAAAAAAAAAACGGGGAAAAATGGCAGCTCAAAAAAAAATAGCAGAAACAGTGGAAAAGTTTCGCCAGTGGAACATTTTTTATTAGATTGCGTTGCAGTCACTTAATGCCTCGGATCGCAGTCTCGCCTCAACTTGCCCTTGGCAAATTGCCGGCTTCCGTCTAGAGATTTCCACTTTTGGCCGGAAACGATGGCATATGGGCCATCGATATCGGTTGGTGGGTTATTAATTGATAGGGCGCTCATCGGTTGTCCGACTGCATTTCGCTGGCAACTTCATCCAGTCATTTATATTAATCAACTGAAAAGTCTGATTGAAAATTTTTAACACCATCAATCAACTTGTGGCGGCTCCAGGCAAACTTGCCAACTTTTGGCAAAACTAAACAATATGCGATATAGTGGTGTTGCGGCTTCATCTGTCTTCGGGGAGAGAAAATCAAAATATTTGCCCAACTTAGTTTTCAGCAAAGTTATCAATAAGCACACAACATCAAAAGCAAACAACCATAAATAAAATTATGAGAAACTCTTGGAAACTTTTATGAAATGTGTAAAATTAAATAAAATACTTAAAATTATAATAAAGTACTTAACAATTTGAGATTTTAATATTAATATTTGAAAGGAAAAATTAAATATAGTTTTATATTTCTTTGGTAATGTAAAAAACACAATGCTTTAAAATGTCTTAGTTTTAAAGTTATACCAAATTAAGGAAATATATTTTTCATAACCTAAAGTAGATATATTTCCCAACTTTTAACCTAGTGTAACAAAAATAATACTTTAAAATGTCTTACTTTTAAAGTTATACCAAATTAAAAAAAATATATATTTTTCAAAACCCAAAACTGATATATTTCCCAACTTTTAACCTGTTTTAAAAAATGTAAGCTTGATCGGTTACAAACTTAAATTGCTCACCCTTCCAAGATATGCGTTCGCCACTTTGCAAACTCCCAAAATAACTTATGCAACCTCTTGAAAGGGCAACACGAAAATATGAAATTCCTTTTGTAAACTTTTATCAAAAACCAAAGCCCAACACAGTGGTAACTTTGTCCCCTTCCTTGGTTTAAGCCAACTGTTCTCTGTGCTCTGGTCTCTTAACAATTTTCGTGTATTTTACCCAAGTGTATAATGTAATTTGGTCTGACTTCGGAACTGTGACAAGTTGCAAAATTTCACAACATCGATATAAATTCCATCTTGATCAACGTCCGCCTATTTGGGCCATGTGGGCCATAAACGAAGCCATCGACATGGCCAGTCATATCTTGGGGGCCAAATGGATGGGAATTGCCCGTAATAAAACGCATAAAGGGGATCTCCGCAAATTGGAAATTCTGTTGCAGTTTTTATGTGCCCATCTCTCTGTCGCATTGCAATTTGGGGCATTGTCTTCCATCTGGGGCCATGCGGTTCATTAGATGTAATGGAAGTGCAAGTTGGCTTTTTATGGCGACTGGAGGCGGCACTGCCATTAATATTAATCACACTTAAGCAGTTTAAGTTATTCAAAAAGTCATTCCCACAACTGCAAACTATGATTACTGCCCATCTTGGAAGGGTTCTCAGTT